GCCCCAAGCATGTGCTTGGTTGCCTGGTGCCTGGAGCCAGCCCTGACCCTACCCCCAGAGGAGACCAACCCCTGATAGGAGTTTCCAGGACTGCTGTCAGCCCTGTATCCCGAGATGATGGAATACCCTTAAACTACAGAGCCCTGCACCTGGACTGGGGTAGGAAGTATCCCAGAGAAACTAGACTTTAGTCCGTTTTTGTTGCTGGAGCATGAGTAAGCATGTTTCAGTTGGATCCCATTGACTCAGTGGCAGAACCCTCCACCACTGTTTGATTTCTGGGCTGGGTCCCAGTAGAGTGGGGTGGGCCCAGCTCCTCCTACCCACGGCTGCCAGCCCCACCCTGTTCTATCATCTGAAGGCGTTGTTAGTAACTAGACTAGGATGGCCAGACAAGAAGTGTGAAAAATCAGGACGGGGTGAGGGGGTAATAGGAGCCTATATAAGAAAAAGACCCAAAAATCGGGACTGTACTTATAACATCAGGCCATCTGGTCACCCTAAACTAGACAGATCTGGATTCCATGTAGGCTAACGTTCAAGGCTTAAGCTTGGCTCTGGTTCAACAACACTAAAATACTGCAAGCTTTTCTTGTAACATTTCAGATCCATCGGAACCAGAACACTTATATAGGCACAGTGCTCAGTATTTTCCAGATCAAAATATAGATTTGGGTTTTTTTAAAGTGTATAGAATCATAGTAGGAAGGAACTGAGTAGCCTCTGCAGGAGCCAAGAGGAAGGCATGTTGCAGGCTTGCATCCACTTTTGTTTTTTTCCATTAAAAATCATAGGAGCAGGTTAGAATCACAAGCTTTGAATCTGTGCAACTTCCATCCGCCCAAACACAAATTCAAAGCAATTCTAGTTTTGTCCCATTTCTCGGTCCAGTCTCCACTACTTACTACTTTCTGTAGTGCTTGCTACTAACTGGACTACTCATGGTAGTAAGCCCCACATCAGGAAACAAGTGTTTTTATCTTTGCAGAGACCTTTAAAGATGCTATTCCACTTACCTATACATTTTGTGTAATTTTGTACAGTCATAGTTCAATGATGGTTTCTCCTCTTACTAGAAGAAAAAAGCCCATAAAAATACAATTGGGGTAACAAATCTAGACTGGCCCAAGTGTGATATTACTAAAGAAGGCACTGAGATGAGGACACATCACATCTTTCAGGAAACTAAATAATGGGCAAGCTGAAAAGTGGTAAAAATAACAGGTTAAATCAATGTCACTAATGAAAGGATGTTCTGTTACAGGTCACCCTACTGGAGCAGAAACTAAAACAACACTGTAAAGTTGATTACAAAGTTAAAATTTACCCTGGACAAACTCATGGTTTTGTACATCGCAAGAGAGAAGATATGAACCCTCAAGATAAACCTTACATTGAAGAAGCAAGAAATGACATGCTCAGCTGGCTAAATAAATACCTTTAACAAAAAGTACACTGCTAGACTGTAAAACAGAATCCAGTAATTTGTTAGGCAGACTTTAGAGCACATTGTAATTTTATTTTTGGAAAAAATAAAATATTTAAAATTTAATTAGAAGATTAAAAAAGATAAATAGTTGTTTATTTACTTTTCAGCAGTAACACTTTCTAACAATTTTTATTTGTATTTTTGAACGTCCTTTAATAAGTGGATGCCAAAATATTTTCAAGTGTATAACACCTTAAATTTAGAAAAAGTTTTGAAATCTGACCTACATATCTTAAGATTGTTACAATGTGCTTTGAGATATACCCCATCTAAGGGGTTAATATATCCCTTGATATTTATGAGCAATTGTAATAAAAGCTAATGACAGTTATGTGGCTGCACTAAGAAAATATTTCCTCTACAGCCATCCTGCAGTACCTTGGGCTGTGGTGTCGTCAGCTCTACGCTAGACAGGGTTATGCTTGGACATTATTTAGATGGGAGGCTTCCGAGGAAAGTGGCATCAGTGACTCAGCAGTTAGTACCACTCCTGGTGAAGCAAACGTTTACTAATTCTCCAATGCCAGCATGGTGTTAGGGCCACTGTGCTGCTGAGGCTATTGTCTTTCTGATAGATGTTTAATCAACAAAAACATTGTGTCAATGTAATATTAATATTGTACACTGAACCTGTAGTATAGTATAAAGACACATGCAATAAATGTTAAGCAGTGACGGTTTGTGTGTGAGGGGGACAAGATGAATTCCAGAGGAGTTGGATCTCAGCTTAAGGATAGCATCCCAATTGCTGAATTTTCAGCTAGTGGAACATTTGGAGGTCATGAACTTTTGCCCAGTCATCCTTTGGAACTGTCAGAAAAAATTTTTCAGCTAAACCAAGATAAAATGAATTTATCGATTGAGAAATATTCAAGGACTCAATGCACCTCTAAAGCTGCAAATGGAATTCAAAGCAACTCCAACGTCTTCTGTTTCTGCGTAGCTCAAATATAGCGCTGGATACACTGAGAGGAAATGATGAATGCATTGGTTTTGAGGATATTCTTAGTGACCCATCGCAGAGTGAAGTTATAGGAGAACCCCATGTGATGGTGGAATACAAGCTTGGTTTATTGTAACACAAATGTAGTCCGAACCTACTGTTCATGAAAACATTTATTGTATGTGTCTTTATACTATAACATTAATATTGTACACTGAACCTACATTGACACAATGTTTTTGTTAACTTACCCACAGGAGAGCTCTTGCCTTACCTGATGAATAGGCACATTAAATGTTTAAAGTCTATTATGATTTATTCTCTGCTTACTGTCAATATAAATGTCCTACAACTGGGTATTTTAAAAATGTTTAATCAAGTCCCTTGTCCCATTAACTTGTTGCAAGATCTAGGGAAACGATGAGAAAAGGTGGTGATGTGATGGTGTCCCCAGGGTGCAACCTGGAACTGGGGTACTGCCGAGCCCTCTGTCCCACCAATCTGGGCTCCCTCTCACCCTGTGATGCTGTGACAAGCTGTAAACCTCTGGCAGGTACTGCACTTACACAGATATCCACAGGCAGGGACACACCCAACTGAGTTACATGAATGCTTCTCCCAGCCACTCATAAACTAACAAACAATAGAGAGGCTTCAGACAGTCCCCCACAGTTCTCCAGCCTAGGACCCCAGAGCTGTACCGTCTTGCCCTAGTCAGAAGCCTGACCACTGTAAATTTATTACCTAGACTGCACTCCCCCTCCCCCCCTCACTGTGGAGAGGACATACATAAGCCTTTGTAACTGAGCTGAGATTTCCCAAGCGCTTAAAAAAACCCAAAAAACAAAAACAAAAAAACCCACCACACACAGGTTCAGGTAAAGTATAAAACAGATCTATTAACTACAGAAAGCTAGATTTTAAGTGGTAGGCATGGAAGATCAGAGATTGTTCATTTATCTTTTATTTTCTTTGGTAACTATCTAAATCTTAAGTCATATTTCATTTGACAATATTTAGCATTTTTCTCATCCAACTGGATGTTACAGTTCTTAATACACAGGATTCCCCTTAAGCCTGGGCCAGTCTCCTCAGATGATCTTTGTCTTCTTGGCATTCCAGTTGTTTCCAGCATAGGTGCAGGGAGGAGAAAAAGGCAAAAACATGCTGCAATATGTCCTAGTGAGCTTTGAGTCACAGTGATTGAGTAAACGCCCACTGTGTGGACTTGGGCAACTGTCATTGAATTGTAAATCCCTTGATTACAACTCTCCTGCTGATTAATGTTTGCGGAGCACCCTCCTGGGTGGGGTCCTTTGTATGTCACTAGCAAACGTACAGCATATTTCAGTAACAACCATACAGCAAAATCTCATAACTTTACACACACTAATGATATAGTTATTTGGACAGAACAATGGTTTTCAACTGATCATGACCTTTCATATGAAACCTTATATGGCATGCTTTGTTTGAAATATTACAATCACATATGAATGATGAATATGGGGATTACAGAGTGCGATTTTGAGGTACGGGTACGTCACAGTTGATTTAACCATGTATTTACCTTAGTTTGCTAACATGTCTGAAAACTACCTTATCTTATAGTGCCTTATCCACACTAAAATTTTGCCATGTGTTAGTTACCATGTGGTAGGAAAAAAACCTTTTCCAGTGAAGACCAGGCCTAAGTGTTATGTCCAATTCCAACCTGGAGCATTCTATTTTGCCTACACAAATTCCCCCTATAATTTCAGTAGGAGAAGCTATATTTTACTTACTTTGTTTATTTTTTTTTAAAGGAGAGTATCCTGTTGTATTGTTTTACTAGCGGTGTTAAATGGCTGTCACATTCCTTCTTAGTGGTAGGGATGGAACATTTCCTATATGCAGTTTAGATAGAAGTCAAAAGTCAAGAAGGCAGGAAACCTGTGGAAAAAATAGCATATGATCATAATGTTGTATCATAGTTCATATGCACAAAAGGAGGCCAATTAATGTTTCACATGCAAATTAAACTGCCATTTCCTAATTGTTGAGTGCTTGACTTTAAGTTTAACTTTCTTTTTGTGTAGTTTTTTTTGTTTGTTTATATTCTGTTAAAGCAACATTATTGAATGCCTGTAGTCTCACACATAGCATCTTTCTGCCTCCCTGGTACCCAAATTATGTCTGCTAGCATCACATATACATGGGGTAGGTTTGGTTGTCAATTTTAATTCAGATAATCTATTTGTAGACCAAGTTCCTGATACCCATTCTGTCTAGGTACTCATTAAGGCCCACATCAATCATAGAACTTCACATACATTAATAAACACCCCTGATAAGAAAAACTATGGCACAGCTAGAAACTGAACCCCAGCTCTCATGCATCTTACTATAGTGCCATAACCATTGTGACAAAGTTCCTCCTCTATCTTGGTGGGTCCTGTGCTTATTGGCAGAATTTCTTACCTCAGAGATTCACCGTGTGAGTTGAGGAACAGCCCAGAGACCTTCCCCTCTGGAAGAACCCACGGTCCAAGTCAATTGGGAGGTTTGGGGGGGAACCCAGGCCCACCCTCTACTCCGGGTTCCAGCCCAGGGCCCTGTGGACTGCAGCTGTCTATAGTGCCTCCTGTAACAGCTGCATAACAGCTACAACTCCTTGGGCTACTTCCCCATAGCCTCCTCCAAACACCTTCCTTACTCTCACCATGGGACCTTCCTCCTGGTGTCTGATAACACTTATGCTCCTCAGTCCTCCAGCAGCACTCTCAGCTCCTTGCACCTCCTAGCTCCTCACACTCCCACCACAAACTGAACTGAGCTCCTTTTTTTAAAACCCAGGTGTCCTGATTAGCCTACCTTAATTGATTCTAGAAGCTTCTACTTAATTGGCTCCAGGTGTCCTAATTAGCCTGCCTACCTTAACCGGTTCCTGATTACTCTAGTGCAGCTCCTGCTCTGGTCACTCAGGGAACAGACAACTGTTCAGCTAGTGACCAGTTTGTTGGCCTTTGAACAGACTCCTGTACCTCACTGGCCTGGAGGGAGGAAGGTAGAAAGCTACTTCTCCTGCTTCTAGGTCCTGGGTTTTCCCTACAACTGCTGTCTGTTGCTGCTGCTCCAGCTATTCCCCTGGCTGGACTAATCCCCCCTCCCCTGCATCTCTGCTACCTGCTTGCTGGCTGGCTGCTAGACACCCCCCCCCTTGGTTGTTGCTGCTCCAGTTACAGCCCCTTGGGGGGGGGGGAGTTGCTGGCCCACTCCCTGGAGGAGGGGAGGGAGGGAGCCAGCCATTGCTCCTGAGGACACCACCACCATCGACCACCACCTGAGAGGAATCCTTCCTGCTGGCCACCAGACTGCCGCCTGAAGCTGCTGTGTTTGCTGCTGGGAGCTGCTGAAGCCCCGAGGAGAAGGAGAAGAGGACCATTTGCCAGTAGAGGAGTGTGTAAGAACATACCACCGTGGAGGGGGTTCCTTGGTGCAACAAGAGGAGCCGGAAACCTTCCCTGAGTTAGTGACTGATCACTAGCCCTTGATAGCCCCCCCCCATCCACCCTCCCCTTTTTTTGGTGCCCTCCTCCCCTGCCTATAGCCTAGCGGGGAGGAGTGGTCGACCTGGTTCCACTTTCCCTACCCCCGTTCCAGTGTTTGCTCTCCCCCCATCCTCATTATGGCAGGGGATGAGGAGAGCGAGACCCCTCGGGCAGACCCTGCTGCCCTTCCTCCACCCGCCCCACCATCATCCCCCCCTAGCCTCTACCTCAACCGCTGCTGCCGAGCCACCTGCTACTACGGTGACCAGATGTCCCGATTTTATAGGGACACTCCCGATTTTTGGGTCTTTTTCTTATATAGGCTCCTATTACCCCCCACCCCCGTCCCGATTTTTCACATTTGCTGTCTGGTCACCCTACCTGCTACCATCCCTGCTGGAACGCCGGCAGCGGTGGGTAACGAGGTGGCCTCCGCTGCTGCCACGTCCCTTGCCCCCTCCAACTCTGGGGGAGTCCCCCCAGCCGGCAGGAAGGGCCAGGGCACGAAGAAGGGTAAAGGCCCCGCTAAAAAAGCCAGGCCCTCCATGGCAGGGGGTGTCCCCACTGCCGTGGCCCCGCAACAGGCTGTGGCGACCCTCCCTGCTGTTCCCTCCACCAGCTCTATGGGTGTCCCACC